ATGACAAGGATTGGGTACAAGAAGGTACCGACTTGTGCCTAGACATGATATTCCTTCACAGCTTATCTACAAAAATGCTACATATATTTAAAAAATTTAAAGTTAATTGGGAAACTTCGATTTATATTATTTTAATAAAAACAGTTTGTAGAGAAGATAGTATAATTGATAGCCATGACAATGTATGTTATATCTTTAAATTATCACAGTTATTCATTTCTAGGGTATCACAAGCTATTAAGTCTCTATCTTGTCACCTGAGCTACACTATAATAACCTGAAGGAAATATCCAGATGTAAGCCAGGGCTTCGCATCAGCTTTCTTATGGAGGCTCAGCTGACTTCACCCTGCAGCTCCCCTAGCACCTTGAGAAGTGGTGGAGGGAGTTTCCTGCGTGCCCCCGGCTTGGCCCTTTCTTTCCTCCTGATTTAAGGTGCTAAGGCGTCCTTTCCCTCTACAGCCGAGGCCTGCTAAGCTGGACGTGCCTTGCACACTCATCTCCTGGTGGCATTATGTCATTTAGGAGTTACCGGTCACCTCTCATAACATTTTTAGCTTCTGCTGTCTCCTACTGTTTCATTTTATTAGGCGCTACCCTCCAATTATTTACAGCCTGGGAATTACTCTTATTTTTGTATGTGTTCCCTCTGCCCAACTGTCCTATCCAATTTTTCTATTGGTTTTCCAAATTCTCCTCTTACTTTTCTAAACTAGTACTTTCCTCTCTGATAGCCCAACAAGTCAGGCTACACAGTGATTAGGAGCACAGATCCTAGAGCCTGATGGGGCAGATTTGAACCCAGTACTCCCCAGGTTCCGTCCCCCCTCCGCCCTGAACTAGGGCAAGTTATTTAACTTGAGTGTCAACGTCTGCACCTGTAAAATGGAGATCATCATAGCACAAGGTGTAAAAGTATTATTTTCGCTTTTCCTAGTGTTATTTCTTCCATATTCTCGCATTCAAAATCTTCTAGTTTTTCTTCTTGTCTTTTACACTTTATTTTCCAGATATATAAATAATATACAGACTAAACAATTAAATTTCCCATTACACAGACTTGTCATTGTTCCTCACATCACAGAATTAGCAGAACTTCCTATCCTTACAATTTATATCCATCTTTTTTTTTCCCTGCAGAATTATTCCCACAACCTTCACTAATTAATTTAGTCTCCCTCATTCTCATTAAACTATTTCTATTTTAAATGTGTGCAGGTATTGTAACAGATCTATTTTTGAAGGAATTAAAGGTCTGTTCGACACATTATGTTCAAGAGAGTGAAGCAACATTAAATAGACATAAATAAAGGATCCAATTTCTACTCAATTCTTTTCATAATCCAAAAAGGTAGCTCCATTTTAAGGATCCAAACTCTCTTGATTACAGTCAATGTTATTGCCAAAGAAGGTTTCATCTCAATTTTGACACACCCAAAAGTCCATTAGAGTTGGACAAATGGATATACGAGCAGCAAAATATTAATTCTTTTCCTGCCTTCACTGCTCAGCAAAATTAGACTTTATTTTCCCCTGAGGTTTAAGAAAAAAAATCTTTTACTTATTCAATTTTTTTATAATCCTCTTTTCTGCTGTAGTCAGGATATTGCTGTTAAGCAGACTTCCTTTCTCATTTTAACCCACATTGGTCTCTTCTTGAATCCATACTGGCTTCGTGACGTCCAATGCATCCCTTCTGTAACGAAGGCCCTAATGATTCCTTTTAAGCAGATATTCCCTCTGGCCAGACGTGGCTTCCTCCATGCTGCTGCCCATTGCTCTGCCCTCTTCCATTTACTAGGTGTTTATTTACCATCTACAAACAAACATCCAGAGGGTCTACCATGTGTTAAGTACCGTGTTATGAATGTGGCACTGTCCAGAAAGGGATCCCAAGAGAGGAGGGTTGTTAGTAACCTGGGCAACCTTCCATACCCGGTCCCCTTCACCTAGAAGTCACTAGTAAAAGTGTCAATCCCCATACACTAGTCTACTTTATCAGCTAAGATGACATGTGGTAAGTCCTCTGATTTCTCAGGCCTCTAAATACAATGATGTGACAGGTTCAAGATGCGTCTTCTCCAGACCCAAATTCTAGTTTATAGCAAATACAGAAAATGGAGGAACTCACTAAACAACATCTTCAGGAAGACAACCAAGAGAAAACCCGGGAGGAAGGAGCCTCAGGTGGGATACCTGGCCCTTCTCTGGTCGCTGTCAATTGAAGGGACTGTGCCAGATTAAAAGAAACGAGGGAAAAACATGTAGGTGCAATGCGGTGTTCTGGTTTGGACACTGCATGAGACAGACAACTGTAAAGGATTTGTTTGTTTTATCCGGGAAAATCTAAACATGATCTGAGTTAGATATAGGTTACATTCACGTGTACTGAAATGGAGAGATCAATGACTACAGAATAGGTTGCAAAACAGTTTTTCCCCCCAAATATATATACAAATAAATACACAAATAAATACAAAGGTAAAGACTGTGATAAATGTTAGTTTGTATTAATGCATTAGAGGAAGGCACGTTAAGAAAGACATTTGAACTGAAACATAAAGAGTAAGTGGGAGTTGACTAGCTGTCACCATAAATATGAGAGAGGATCACTGATTGACTGCCTCCTGCATGCTCCCTACTGGGGATCGAGCCCGCAACCCGGGCATGTGCCCTTGACTGGAATGGAACCTAGGATCCTTCAGTACACAGGCTGATGCTCTATCCACTGAGCCAAACCAGCTAGGGCCAAATATATTTTTATTGATTTCCGCGAGGGAGAGAGAGAGAAACATCAATGATGAGAGAGAATCATTGATTGGCTGCCTCCTGCATGCCCCCTACTGGGGGTTGAGCCAGCAACCTGGGCAAGTGCCCTGATAGGGAATCGAACTGTGACTTCCTGGTTCATAGGTCAACGCTCAACCACTGAACCATGTTTTCTTGTGTTAAGGTATTATCAGTAGTGATAGCTGGGTGGTGGGAATGTGACGTTTTAATTAAAAAAATTTTTTTGTTTGATTATACTTTATAATTTTCTACAATGCTGTAATAATGCTGTATGGCTATAATAATAAAAGATTATTTTAAAAAATGACTCATTTTCTCCCAGAAGACTCATCCAAGAAATCTCACACCCACTGATTACGCTAACTCTCTAGGATTCAGGCATATCCCACTGCACAGTTTATGCTAAATTATCATCCTTGAGTCAAGTTCTCTGGTAGTGTTTTGTGTGTGGCCCTTGTCCCTATTCGACTTCTTGTGTATCCCAAATTACACTTGGCAGAGTATTTATTTTTTTAAGAATATTCTTTAAAATATTTTTTTATTGATTTCAGAGAGGAAGGGAGAGGGAGAGAGAGATAGAAACATCAATGATGAGAGAGAATCATTGATCAGCTGCCTCCTGCATGCCACCTACTGGGGATCAAGCCCACAACCTGGTTCATAGGTCAACACTCAACCACTAAACCATGTTCCCTTGACTGGAATCGAACCCAGGACCCTCCAGTCTGCAGTCTGACACTCTATCTACTGAGCCAAACCAGCTAGGGCCAGAGTATGTATTTCTTTAGTGAGTATAACACCTGTGTAATGAATAGATCCTTGGTGCCATCACGGTTGACAATTTAATCAGGAAGAATGAACGTGAAAACCTCATAGACTCTTATTAGAACAAGGCTTTGTATCACATGAATTTGTATATATCCAGGTAACATATTTTACCCAAAACACAACAGCCACATCATTAAAAAGTTCTACTTAATACCACAGTTAATCTATAAGCCTATTTATCCCATCCTACACTATAACTAGGCTAATTAACATTCACATAATTCTAATGTATAATTAAAGACTTTTCCAAACCATGCTAATCACTGGAAATAACACATGTACATCTTTATTTGTACCTGATGTGATTTCAAAGGTGTTCTACTTTAAACATCTCAAAAATTATGGGTCATGATAAACTATAGATCTTTTCTCTCACTTTCAGGGAAGGCTGATAAGTAGGAAGCACAAAACAGATATACACATAGATGCTTATGCTAATGAATCCTTGAAAAACACGCTTCATAAAAGAACTTGACACAGCACAGTCAACTCCGAAGCTCTCTCTAGACAAGACTGAAGCAAGTTTTCTAAAAAGGCATTAAAATGAAACAGTAGAAGTAACTCATTCCCAGCTTTCCACTTTAGACCCTGAACCTCAGCTCTGGTACCAATGACTGCCAACACACGCTTTGTTGTATATAAACAAGGGAGAGTCAATACAAAGTCATGCACTGAATTACGAGCAGAGTTTGTTGTTCCCATTAAAAACTAGTTTGCTTGTGCTTTGCTTTTCTCTCTTCAGGGGTGTGAGTTTTCTTTATCCGAGCTGATTTCAGCTTCTCTCCAGAAATCACTGTCCCCTTAAATTATCTGAGTTGGCTGAAACACCAAGTCCTCTTTCAGACTTGATAGGTCAAGTTCTAACTGTTCTCTAAACTCGTGCTCACATGTTCACTTTCAGTAAACACTCACAATAGTTCAGTGCTGACAACGTTTTTACTCAAAGATGAGCTTCTACTAAATAGCTTTCTGATACTGAATTATTTCAATGTGTTATATCCTGATATGTTCTGATACTCCAACAATGTCCTAATTCATAAAATGCCTCTTCACCCCAGCGTTTAAAAGTTTCCCTCAAACATAAATCCATTAATCTCCCAGACTGCCCTATGAAGTCCAAAGAGTATATTCGAACTCTGCATACAAAATAGTTCCCGAATGAGCGTATAAATCAGTCGTTTTCAGCCATATGCACAGAGAACTAACTACCTCCTGCATCTCCCCAACAGAGACACAAGAACATTCCATATAAAGGTTGATTTTCAATCATCTCCTGTAAATATTTTAAAACTGAAAACATTTTTTTCTACTGTCAGAAGTTACAGTGAAAAAAATAAGCATTTGGCAGATATGAGGTTGCTATAAATTCTGTAAACGGCTTACCTATTAATGTAACTGAGGGCAACATAGGTTGGCTGCTGTAATTCTTGTTTTTCTAACACACGTGGATCTGTATCTGTAATAAAAAACACAATTATGATTTTCAGCTTTTGCATCAGAATATATGAGCCTACCTAACATAAACTAATAAAGGCTAGACAGAGAAAAAAATTAACTTACTAGTAGTATACCTCTTTTTAAAGAAAACTATGCAAAGCCCAATCGTTTGTCCATTCATTCGCAAATAACAAGATATTGCATTACTTTTCAAGGGAATTCCAAACATCAACAGTGATAAAATGTCCATCTGTCACGCAAACTCTTGCACAATCCCCCTCATAAATATTGGTTTTCACTGCTTACAGTTACAATGTTGGCATGGTTTTCGGTGGTTAATCGGCCTAAGAAAGAAAGTCTCTGTTAATTATGCTCACTTCAAGGCTGGAACAAATTAGTTGCCATTGGAAAGAGCCATCAATTTGAAAATGTACGGGGCATTGTTCTTGTTTGCTGAGCACGTTTCTGGATTGGGATTTACGTTCCGGAGGGCAGCTCTTCAACTTTCTAATTGTAGAATGAGTTTATTTTATCTTCTCTAGGCTCTCGATCAGAAATCCTCATACTGGTTTGGAATCCACAGACACCACATTCTTCAGAGGGGCTTTTCCTCTCCAAGACACAGAATTCAACGCCATAGCAACCTCTGGAAGGCTGCTTCTCACAGCACCAAAAAAAACCACACAAAAAACAAACAAACCACCAAAACACCAGCACTGCTAAATATGCAAACACAATTGTTTATGCAGTAAGATTGGAGGAAGAGGAGCACATTTTTGTTTTCTCAGAAAAAGGTTCAGACATTGCACACAGATTTCTTTTCATTTTAACCTCCTTTAAAACCATCTCACTGTTAGAACTCTTCCAGCTGCACTTGGCAGTCACACCGGCTTTGATGTAACGACAGATGTTGTTTCCAGCACCTTGGTACAGGAAGTGTTTCCTGCACGTGGTAGAAGATCCACCCATTAACTCCAAAAGGCATTAACAGGGGATGGGCAGGGATGCAGGCACAGTGGCGAGGAGCACGGGGGCAAAAGGATAGCACGAAAATCAATCGACAAGGCTTCCCACTGGCAGATTAAAACTGGACAGCAGTGGCAAACTTATTCCTGGTGTGCTAATCACGTCACGTTCACTTGACTCTTTCTCCTCTGCCAAGAATTTCTGGGACACTCTATTCACAAACCCTGCTTCCTGGGTCTTTGCCATTGTAGGTCCTTGAAAGCCAAGTTCTGAAACAAGAGACAAAGATTCTCTGAATGGCTCCCTCAAGTCGGGTCTCAAGGGTTTGACAGCACAAGGGAGGACAGAGAGTAAGTCAGCATTTGCTCTCCTACAACGGTCACGCTGCAGCTGAGACTGTCTGCAGGTCACTGGCCTAGAACTACCCCTGTGGTTCTCCAAATACACGGACAACAACCACTCCTCAAGGGAAACATGGTTTTCAAACACAGCCCGTCCTCACACACATCTGCTTGCTGTGGCCCCAAAGTGTGTCCACATTTCAGAGAGGAACGCTTTGTGCACTTCACTCGTGCTCACTGGAGAGGAGGCAGTGGACAATGCTCACCAGGGAAAGGTGTTTTATTCCTAAAAACGGTCCATGGGAATGCTGGGCAGGCCATGTGTGCTGATGGTGACTGACAGACCAATCCTGCAAGCTCTTTCTAGGTGCTTAACGAAGTGAGGCATGAGAGATTGGAGAGAGAAGCCAGGAAGACGAAGAGAACGGAGAACGATGAGAAAGAACAGGGTGATGAGTGCAAATGTCTGTGCAGAAAACATCTCAAAAACTCACAAAACCATTTTGCTTCAAGTTTAGGAACAGGTGATCAAGATGCTTAGCTTTTGAGACAGGGCCTAAACCTGATTCATTAAAACTCATTCCTTCAGAGAGACATCTGGTGTGTTATTTTGAAAGGAAAGAACTTTGTTCTGAATCTAAAATGTGTGTATAGGGGAAAGA